AGATATTCATAAATCATAGAGTAAGGGGAGAAGAAATGGAGGGTGGGATGTGAATGAACGGAAGGACACATATATAGAGAGAGGGAACCTGAGAGGGAGAGAGAGCGCGAAAGAGAAGGGAGACAGATGTGGAGAGTGAAGGATAGAGAGAGTGGAAGGGGTGAGTGGGGAAGGGAGATGAAGGGAACATCGAGGGAGAGCTGTGCAAGTTTCTATAGGCCGCGACAGGAGGAGGAAGTTATACTGCAGCTACATTGATCTGCCGTGTAAACAGAGTGACCAAAGCCTGACCCGTCGACCGTTAGAGGCGACCGCTTTGTGCAAGAATTTCAAAAGGCTGGCTGGCGGGCTTCATCCGTCCGTTGAAGCGATGGGTATTCTCGAGGAGTTTAAAGCCCCCCCCCCCATATTCGCCGTCTTTTAATAGAGTTTCAATAATTAATGGAACGTAAAGAATAAACGGATTTGCTTTCTGTTGCAATAAGAATTGATGACTCTCCTGGTTGACCGAGCTGTTCAGCATTCACTCGCTCCACCGATATCAAGCCACTTGTGCATGCGTGTGTACATGCGTGCGCGTGGCGTGTGTGCGTGCGTGCGCGTGGCGTGTGTACATGCGTGCGCGTGGCGTGCGTGGGCGTGGTGTGTGTGCATGCGTGCGCGTGGCGTGTGTGCGTGCGTGCGCGTGGCGTGTGTGCATGCGTGCGCGTGGCGTGTGTGCGTGCGTGCGCGTGGCATGTGTGCGTGCGTGCGCGTGGCGTGTGTGCGTGCGTGCGCGTTGTGTGTGTGCGTGCGTGCGCGTTGTGTGAGTCCTGTAACAACAGCCTCTCCCGTGATTAGATAGTGGCAGGGTAATCGGTGCGCAGAGGAAGCTGTACACTCGTTTATCGCGTTGTTACCGTAAGACTAATTGGATCATGTCTTGCTAGCCGTTCTTAATATTCTTTGAATCGTCATTGTGTTCTCTGTTCATAGGGAAACAGCATCAGGTGCTTGCGGCACATGATGGCTTATTCAGGACCCAATTAGAGCACGTAATATCATGAGCTCATATAACGTTGAGAGTGCTAATATAATATATCCGTCTCTCTCGCTCTTTCTCTCTCTGCCCCCCCCCCACACACGCATACACACACTCTTTCTCCTGTCTCTCTGTCTCTCTCTCTCTCTCTCTCTCTCTCTCTTTCTTTCTTTCTCTATCTCTCTCTCTTTCGCTTTCTCTTCTCTCTATCTAGGTACTTCTCTCTAGTTCTATATTATGCATTTCATATTAATATTAATATGGAATTGCATTCGTATTATGTTTACTCTCATGTCTGTCCTGTTCATTTACATGTCGTTCATTATAGCTGTGCGCACGTGCTAACGTGCGGGGAAAGACAAACAATACAGGCATGTCACTGCGCAAATACATGGTACTTAGAAAACTATTAAACCTCCTGAATGTTCGAGCGTAACGAAGTGTCTCTCGGGAGCTACCTCGTTGCCACGCAAGAAGCCATCTCTGCTCTATCAACATGCATATATATATGCGCGCTACCGCTATAGCTGCCTTGCCGCACTGCTTGTCGCTGCGTGCGTATAGCGATCTACCTCCGGCAGCTATCTCGGTGCCATTGCAAGCTTGCTGCGCTGTATCTACTACCTACACACACGCGTGATACAACCAGGAGTAAGATAATATAGGAGGAGTATGACACTCCAAAACACGAGAAATTCAACATGTGCTTGCCTAATTTGACCGATGATATATTACGTGCAACTCGATAAAAATTACATCTAAATTAGCGTTGGACATCCACCTCACACTCAAACTTTACTTTGTTTCCATGCCTCTTCTTTTTATGGAGATATAGCTTTGAACGTCACACATGGTTCATAGCGTTTTACTAGGCTGGGGCTTAGCTTCCCTGAGGTTTCAAACATTTGCTATCTCTGTGAGGAATGGTCTCTTGTCTGTTTAAAGAATGCCACCTGTTGGCGGCAAGAGTAAGATAATATAGGATATTATATAATATAGGATAATATAGTATATGTGTGTATATATATATAGTGTGTATATATGTGTGTGTATAATCCACCTCACACTCAAACTTTACTTTGTTTCCCTGCCTCTTCTTTTTATGGAGATATAGCTTTGAACGTCACACATGGTTCATAGCGTTTTACTATGCTGGGGGCTCAGCTTCCCTGACGTTTCAAACAGTTGCTATCTCTGTGAGGAATGGTCTCTTGTGTGTTTAAAGAATGCCACCTGTTGGCGGCAGGAGTAAGATAATATAGGATAAATATTATATCCTATATTATATCATACACACTATATATATTATCCTATATATATATATACACACATATAATACTATATATATATATACACACATATATATACTATACACGTATATATTCCAAAACACGAGAAATTCAACATTTGCTTGCCTAATTTTACCGATGATATATTACGCGCAACTCGATAAAAATTACATCTAAATTAGCGTTGGCCTGTCATACTCCTCCTATATTATCTTACTCCTGATACAACTACAGCCGCGTGCGTGGCTAGCTACTACTCGCTGCTACTTACACGCGCCGCGTGGCGAATGCGTGGCGTTAAATTTAATTAGGGAGCCGGGTAATTGCGACGTGGATCCGCTCTTTGCCCAAATGTCAGGCGCACAGGTCGGTGCGAGACTCGCGCATGCATGCAGGCGGGCGCTAAGCCGGCCATAATCTGACAGAGGTGACAGCTCCCTGCGTGGGCAGCTCCCCGCGCCCGCGCGCGAGTCTTAATGTATTCCTTCTATCAATATTGATGGATGACTGCGATGGCGTTATTTAAGCTTGATTTGGGTCGCAATGATCGATGGCGGGGGAGGAGAGACGCCGGCATACACCATTCTTCTGCCCCAGACAACTGCATTACGACACCCGCGTGTGACCTGGCGCCCGCAAATCGCAAATCAGCAGGCGTATTTTTAATATCGGCGCTCGAATGTAGTCAAAAAGGGCTGTAGTTCTGAAGCTACGATCGTCCGTGCATGATTTAAACGATAGGCCCGGTTCTTGTACCGGTACACCCGCTCGCCGCTACATGTCTGCCAAAACAATTGCGTGTGAGTCTATTGAACAAGGCTTCGAGACGATTCTAATGCAGAAACGTGAGGACGTTCTTACCTAGGTTCTACACGTGGTGTAGAAATAAGACCAGCGCCCATGAATCCTTGATTCACATTGTATGAATCCTCATCCATATTGGACACACACGCATGTCCGGTGGTCTCAGTGGAAGTAGCCGTATTCTCCCGTCTCGGTGGTATGTGCCTGCGTGCGTCCGTGCCTGCGTGCGAGAGAAAGAGAGAAAGAGCGTGTAGCCACTTGATTGTTCTGCGTTTCGGGTTTCATGCTCCAATTGAATCTTTTTCTTGTCCACGTTTAGATTCGTGAGTCACGCCATAGCGATTCATAAGCCGTGCATGTAAATCAATGAAAATCAATTTTGAACCAAATCCCTTTGAGCCATTCAGTAACGGTTTGTTGCCCCAACCGCTCATGCGGCAGGCTCGTCTTGGGATGGTCCGTCTGCTGCTCGGACCTCGACTTTGAAAATACCCTTCTCCCTCTAGTCCCTCTCTATCACCTCTCCAAACTCGTGATGCTATGTGTCTACCCCTCTTAACCTATGCCTCTGCGTTCCGTTGCATAACATGAACCCCGTACCATATAACCCAGGCCCCATACACACGCCCTTCCGCACACCACGTGTTCCTATCCACCCTCACCCCACGCGCACACACACAACCTACCAAACGCCACGTGTTCTCATCCCCATGGAGGCAGCTGCCCCCACCACCGCACACACCCTGGCATACACCACGTGTTCTTGCCTATGCTCCGCACACATCTTACCGCACACCACGTACTATTACCCTCAATGCTACCCTCTAACCCTGTCTCACACCCATGTTCCTCTCAATCCCTGCTATATGTACACCCCGTCACCCGCGCACAGCTCTTCATATGCACGTGCAGCACCTCCACATAGCTCATGTATCCGCACCGTGCAGGATATACAGCTCGTATATCGTGTAGCGTGCCCTGTCCGCCCCCCTTTTCCCGTGTTACGCACCCCGTCGCCACCCTAATACTCATCGCGAGCATTCAGGATGACCCCGCGAGCTCTGCACACACAAAAACTAGACAGCGTCATCTCTTATTGATGGCGCCCAATATTCACGCGTAGGACAGCGGTGAGTAGTAGGCCCGACCCGCTCCTTTGTTACGCCTGTCAAGAGCCGAAGAAATAGATATCGACTCAAGTGCGTTTAGGCGAGAATGGGGCGCCGGAGTGGAAATATCCAAAATGTGAAACGTTCCGCTAAAGCCATGCGGCAGCAGCGTGCGCACGTGTCGCCGGCGTCGGCCTGTTGCCGTCCGCGTCTATTTCTTCTGCGCGCGCGAACTTCGCAGAATAATCGGAAAACATATCATGTTTTTGGATGAAATGGGGGGGGGGCATCGGTGTAATCCGCCTGGCGAGTATTACATAGGTGTGGTACAAATCTGTGCGATGGAAGCGACGTTTATCTGCGGGGTGTGTGCAGAAAGGCTGCACCGCGCACACATGCGAAATGCAAAGTCCGGCTGATGTGAGAAGTTCACGGTGCAAACTATGCGCGGTTTGGGTATGAGGTAAAGTTTGATGGAACAAATACTAGGCCCTACATGGAAATTTGGGATACATGTCATCGGATATACCCGAAAATATTACCATGTGTTGTGCATTGATTTTATTCGTTATACAGGTAATAAATCACGCATAGATCTACATAATATGAAGTGGATTTGTTTGTGTCTATCCATTGCACACACGAGCTCATCAAGTCTATCTGTCTGTAGGTTTTATCCCCACATGTGTCTGCCCGTGTGATTGATCCTGGTGTCTATGCAACTCGTGTATTTCACCTATTTGTGTATATAATCCGGTGTCTATCTGTCTGTTTCAGAGGCAAACTGCGGACGCGGCATGTGAGCGACGATAACAATCAGTCGCAGGACGACGGTGACACCCCGCAGCAGCAGCAGCAGCAGCAGCAGCAGGCTGGCTTCATGAATCCGTGGGTCGACAAGGCGCCAACAAACAATTGCACTCAGGCCGTCGTCAGCGCGGATGTAGATTTGGGGAAGGAGGACAGTGTTGAAAGGGACCGGATCGCCATGTCACAGCTGCAGGGAACGATCCAGCCGGAGACCGGTGACAAGGAGAAAACTACGATGTCGCTGTTAAAAGGTAGGGAGGTGGGCGCCGTGCGAGCGGTATAAGCGAGGCCGTGTTATATAATCAATTTTTTATGCAGCATTAGACCTTTAAGCCAGCTTTTAGCCTTTGTACCATACTGCGGTCGGTGAATAGCGATGACGTCCGATATGCTAAACAAAGATGAGAAGCACGCGTTTCGAAATCGAACGCCGAAAAATAAAGCGGCGCAATCTAGTTTGACCCAGTCTTTGTCGACGAAACTAACCTCTCGAAATATTCATTCTCTATTGTCTAACGCCACGTTGTTTGTTGCGTTGATAAGTGCAGTACATTTTTGAAGTGCTGTATATATAGAGCAGCCCTAAATAATTCCTGCGTGGCTGACCCGCTTAAAAATGTGGGATAATAATTCATTTTTTCTACTAGTTTAAATTAGTTAATTTGGGTTAATTAATACGTGTATTACTATTATCAGGAGTTAATAAAGACATATTTTTGTCTTTATTAACTCCTGCTATTATGTGTGCAGGAATCATCACACTCACAGAAATGTTTCTATTGTAGGTTGTGTTACCGCGAATAAAAATACATTTGGTGGGTGACTTGAGTGCTTAATTTCGTGGTTCTCCAAAAAGTGAACTGTTTTCCCTGACCATCTCGCTATAGAGACTCCTGAATATCCTCGCGTGCGAACCTGATTTTCGCTGCATGATTTAATTCTATTGGCACGGCACCATGCAATTGCTTTTATACAAGACATGTCAGTAATGTTTGAGTAGGTGCACAGTCTAAAAGCTAAACAGTACAGTTTGAACAACTACTGTTGTGTTTTGTTTGAGGAACGTGTCAGTGTTTGTTTTTGACACTATTTTGGCACAGCCATGGGAACCTTCCTTGTGTTCCTCCTCCTCGACACTCCCCCTCCTCCTTCCTATCCTCCGCTCTATTGCGACATCGAAAATTCTGTGGCCATCTCTCGAAACCAGGGCAGTTTAATAACTTGGCCGCGTTAGCAAGTACTTGGGGAGCCTCTTTGACACGTAGTGTGGCGGGTTTCCGCACCCAGCGGACATACGCCTTGCTCTGCCTTCCTTGCTGAGTGTCTATGGTGTATAAACAAACCTGGGAGCGAGCGCGAGAGCTTGATAAATCGTTCATAGGCCATACCACGGTTCGCGTGCTCACCACTGACAGGCACGGAAGTTGTTGCGTGCAGGGGTTCTCACCGTCGCCCCCTCTCCGGTATCGAAAAAGCGCAGCCGCTGCATACTTTTTATTGAGCTATTGACGTTGCCGCTGGAGCCACCACCGCTGACTTCTGCATTCGAACCGCCACCGCCGTCTCGCCCTTCCCCTTCTCCCTGAGCCACACCCGTCCACTTCTCCTCCAGTCTCCGTCTCCTTTTTCTCCTTCCCCTACTACCCTCGAGTCACCGCGCTATCTATTATCTATCGTGTGACAGCGCGGCGGCGGTGACACGCACGTGGGACTTGGGCGACGCTTCAACTTGCGAATGCACGATTTGTGCATCATTTAAAAGCGCTCGCGTCGGAAGGCGGTTGTCCGGCGTGAATAATTCAGCGGCCAGTCGCGCCGCGCGGCGTCCGCTGCTGCGGCTGTTGCTGTTGCTGCTGCTAGCGGTGGCTGCTGCTGCTGCTAGGTGGTTGCTGCTGTTGCTGCTAGCGAAGGCTTCTGCTGCTGCTGCTGCTGCTAGGTGGTTGCTGCTGTTGCTGCTAGCGAAGGCTTCTGCTGCTGCTG